CCTCCCCTCCCCTTGCCTGGATTGTCCCACTCACCTTGCACTCTGACCCGGGGGTTGCCCGCAGCTGTGACTCGGATCTCCCAGGTCCCTGTCTGTGGGGGGTCATTCACACTCACCATCCAGAACTGCCCGAAGCGGCGAGTGTGACCTAGAGACCCCTGGCCTTCCTCCGGGCCCTGGGAGACCCCTGGGGGGAGAGGGGAGCAAGAGACTGTCACCTGAAACCCTTTCTTGCCCTTAGTTCCTCACCCCTCCTTGGGGGCGGGAGTACCTGCAGGGCTCCTGATCTGGAAGCTGCTGACCTCCCCGTGGATCCGGACCGTGAGCCCCTGGAGCAGTCCATCCACACTGAACACAAGTGGCCTCCCGGGCACCACAGCCGGAGGTTCCACGGGAAGGGTCACCTTGAAGGATGGGCAGGGCCAAAATATGGGGGAAAGATAAGGTGTGGAATGAGGTGGGAGCAAAGACAAGAGAAAGGTGGAGACAGAAAGAAAACTAAGTCACACCTGGAAAAAGGATGCCCGGGAGACGGGGGCATAAGACCAGGGATGAAGTTATAGTGACAAAGTTGGAGGCGAGGGGTTAAGGATGAGTCAATCCTTGTCCCCACTTAAAAGATGGTAGGACTTCCTGTGGTGGCCCCAAGGACAGAATATTGGAGCCCAAGATTGGGGGGAAGGGGGCGGGACTAATATGGAAGGAGCAATGTGGAAGGTGGGTAGCCATGGATCTCCAGGAAAACAAACGTCCTTTCCCACCCTTCTGACACCCTTCTGGCAACATCGCAATGGGAGCCATTCCCTTCCTCCTACGAGAAAGAGAAATGCAGTGTCACTTCAGTTCTGAGCTGAAAGCAGTGGTCCCTCTGTCCCATACACTTACCAGGTCAGCCATGCTGTCCCCAACAATAGCTGCCACATCCCGAATGTGCTGATCTTTGGTGAAGATCACCTCTCCTCCAGAGGCCAGGGCCACCACTTCATATGGCTCAAAACGCAGAGGGGACAAGACCTCACGCCGGACTCGGCCCTGACCCCTCAGTGGGTCTTCTGTCACCAGGAATGTTACCTGTGTGCGGAAAAGAGGTCAGTACTTGAGGTGTCCAAGTGCCATCTACCATTATAAATGGGGGTCTCCTGTGCTCCAGCTTCCCACAGAGCTCATGGTTAGCCGTAAGGTCTCCGTCTACCTTCTGGTTGTTACTCAGGGTCTCCCAGTGACCCCCACCCCCACCCTCTGTTAGTAGTTGCACTTCCTTGTAACTGTTATGACATGTCATCCAGATAGTGGGTTGTTGGCAACTAGGTCTCCTGTTCTTCAGATTGTGTACTGGGGACAGGTTCAAGCACAAATTCAGCATCATCAAGGGTAGGACCTCCCACTCTTTAGTACTGTGAAAGGGATCAGGAGGTGTTACACTCACCGCCCACTTCTCCACCCTGTGCTGGTTCAACCACCTCAGTGTGGCGGGACCCTTGTTATGAGGTTGTTGTCATAGGGTCTCCCGCATCCCTGGGTAGCTAACACCAGGTTTCCCACCGGCCATGCTCACCCTGCAGCGTCGCTCCTGAGACAGGGCTTCCACCCGGTTGGTGAGAAAGACATCCTTAGGGGAGGCATCAGTGAAGACAAAGATGTCTGAGAGTGGAGGTGTGTGCAGCAGGGCCAGCTGGCAGGGAGGGAAAGGACTGCTGTGAAAATGCAGCAGTGGGGAATGGGTAGAGCAAGGGAGAGCAGAGAAGGCAATATGGCCCTGGAACCCTGGAGTGAAGCCCGTGGGACCAGGCTCTGAAGGTGGGATCGGGGATGGGGCCCCAGAAAGGCTCTAGCTCCCCTTGGTGGTGGGGCATGGAAACGGGGAGAGAAGGGGAGGGGAGGGCAGACCTCCAGGGCTGACAGGCACATCTCAGGCTCATCTCCACCCCCCACAGCATGGATCTCATTGAGTTGTTGCCAGAAGCTGTCAGGGTCACTGGTTGTAAAGACGGGGCCAAACCCTGGGAGGAGGAAAGGAGGTTGAGACGAATGGGGAGAGGGCTCCCCTCATTCTCACCCAGTCAAGGGGCCTGCTGTGCTCTTGGGTTGGACAAGTATTGAAATGACATTCCCTTGTTTGCCTAGGCAGAGCAGGGGCTCGGGACCCCGGTGGGAAACTGGGTGTCATTTCCTTAACAAAGTGGCAGCACTTCCTGGGGTCCTGAGTGGGCCATTTTGGGGCCTTGGTTTCCTCACCACAAAAGCCGAGAAAGTAACAGTTATCTGGAGGCCTAAAGGACTTGGCTTTGTCAATCTTAGTATGGACTTGGGCACATAAGTGAATTTTCGTTTCATCAGCAAACACGTGACAACCCCCATTATGTGCCAGCTACTACGAGACTTACGCAGGCGAGTCGGACTCAGACCCTGCCCTTGGGAAACTCAGTCCTCCAGGCATTTTATCTGATGGTCACTTCATCCCTGGGAGAGGGACAGGATAAAACTGGTAGTGACCCATTTTATGAATGATGAAATTGAGGCAAAGAGAGGTCATATGACCAACCTAAGGACACACAGTAAGACTGGTCAATCCAGGCCAGATTGTCTGCCTTCCAGTTCAGAGGGGAACAGGATACTGTGTAACTGTGTCTCATACTTTGCAGAGGCCTGGACCCACCAAGCCCTGTCTTCACCCCCTCCTCTGTCTGTGGGGAGTAGAGAGAATTGAAAGTGACTTATAGCGCTGGAGCCTAAGAAGGCAGAGGGCGCCCGCCTAAGTGTGGATCATGAGGAAACACGGTGTTGGCCGCAGTGGAAGAAGTGGCCGGTTGCCTCCTGTACACACGCAGGTTCCCAGGAAAGGCTCGCTCAGGCCGCCTGCCCAGCAGAGGCGTTACTCCTTGCCTGGACTTTGCTTCCCTCCACTACCCCACCCAGACCACAGTTACCTGGGTCATGGAAAGGCACCAGGACATAGTGGACGGGCTCCATGGGGCCGCCCCGGCGCTGCTCCACAATGTGGCGGGCCTGGATTTTCGCAGCGTTGATCTCCTCGCCCATGCTGCCCGTGGTGTCCAGGACGAAGCTCAGGCTGGAGGCGGGGGTGATGTCCAGCAGCCTGGGGAGAGCCACCATGAAGGGTGTGCACATCTGTTCCAGCCCCTGGTTTCTCAGCTCCCCGAGGAGCACCTCAGGAGCCCATCAGAAGGCCACTCACCTGGAGAAACCCCCGTCCCCCAGGCGGCTTCGCAGGAGGCCGAAGGCCTGGATGGAGGCCAGGAGGGCCAGTTCTGCAGCCTGGAGGTGGAGCGTGTGGTGTGGGGAGAAGGCTGGAGACAAGCTGTCCTTGTTGATGCCTCCCCGTGGCGGCTGGGAGCTGCTCTGGTCAAAACGGCCCCCATGGCTACATTTTCCTGGGTTAGGGAAAGGGATCTGGAGGGTGGAAGTAAAAAAACCCACTGCCTCCTAAGAAAATGGGGCCCTTTCTGACCTGGCCTGACCCTCTCACTGCTCGGCGAAGGATCAGCAGGAAGTGACAACATTTTGTGGAGGGCAAATCTGGAGGGGTCAGTCACACAGCACATGATGTCCCCAAAAACTGCCCTCGGGCAATGGGGTCTGCTGGGTAAGAAGCTGCTCCCGCCCCCTCCCCCAAGTCCTGGCCACTCAGTGGGCCTTCATCCACCTGCCCTGTTCCAAACTTTCTCTCCTTCTTAGGAAGTGGGGCGAGGACCTAGAAGGATGAGATCTCTGGGGGCAGGTCATGGGAAAGGAAGTGACTCTCCCCTTCTTCTGAGGGCTTTCCTGTCTGGTACCTGGAGGCTTGGAGGGATGAGATCCAAAGTAGCCAGAGGTGAGGAGTGTGAAACCCAGCAAATTCCCAGGGCAGCTCAGCTCCTCACAATCGGAGCAGGTAGGATCTTCCACTGGGAAGAGAGGGCCCAGGTCTAGAACCCCAAATTCTGCCGCCCGACCCTTATGGGTCCACCCAAACTTCTTCAGCTTTTCCTCCCCGCTGGACTAGGTACCCTCCTAGGCTTTCTGAACTAAAACCTGGAGTTCGGGGCTGGGGGCGAGACCGAATATTTGAGATTGGGACTGTGCTGGAAAAGCCAGTAGTGTGGGGCCAATCCTCTGTGAGCTGTGACAGGAAGTGAACTTGGGATGGACAGGAGGCAGCTTTCGGGCCACTGTTCAGTTGGAAGGTTGAGGGGACTGAGAGGAAGCCCTGTGGGATCCAGCGGGGGGAGAGGGCAAGTGAAGGAACTCAACTGAGGTCTGCTGACCTGGTCCTGGCCCTCCCCTTCCCTGTGTGGCCTTAGGGAAGCCACCTAACTGACCTGGACTTTGGTTAAACTGGGAAACCTCACTGGCCATTCCGGAGATGAAGCCATGTCACCTATGCGACCTCGGGATGTGACAGGGTGGCTGGGTGGGCTTTAACGAGATGGCTCTGTGGGCTACCCCCTAACTGTTCGGGTCATGGCCATACCTTGTGCCAGGCTCCCCAGCTCATGCCTTGGCCAGAGGAGGTGAGGGTGTGGCTGCCGCTGCCCCAGTTCCACCCAGTTGCTGTGACTGTAGAAATCCTGGTCCCAGGGAGAGGAGGAGGGAGTGGGCACTCACCCGTCTGCTCTCGCAACCCAGCCCTAACTTGCCGCTCCTTTGCTCCCACCTGGAAAGCCTCCTCCTTCCCTCTACTTCTGTCCGACACCCCAAGGCCCCTCTGCTGCTCCCCAGCCACGGCTGTTCCCACAGGAAGCGCTGCCAGTGGGGACTGTGGAGTGGCCTCGGGCCGTGGCAAGCAGTGCCCCAGCCCCTTCTAGAGGCGTGGTCGAGAAGCCACTGTTTGGGAGACAGGAAGACTGGCAGCGAAGACCCCTCTAGCCATTACCCCAGCTCTTCCCACCTGCAAGGCATGGAGGGCCTCCCCGAGGCGCCGGCGGGCCAGGGTGTGGTCAAGGGCTCTGGCTGCCACCAGGGTCTCCCGCAGAGCCCCCACCAGGCGTGTGCGCCCCTGGCCCAGCCGCTCAGCATCAAAGTGCAGGTCAGGGTCGTTCCTGGAAGTCGGCAGGAAGTCCTGGGCTGCATTGGCGCGAGACACCTCGCCTAAGGCTGCTCGGAACCGCCGGGAAGGGGCCCCAGGTCCAAAGTAGGAGGCAAAGAGGTCATCGGCGAGGAGGGTGCGGCCCTGGGAGAGTAGGAGGGGACAGGAGCTGCAGGGAAGCCCCTTGGATTGGGCCATTGCCTACATTTCTTCAACAACTGGCACTCAAGGCTGGGTGTGGAAGGACCCGAGTTTGCTGGTGCCACGGGGGCCATCCTGGAGCTTTCTAAGGGGGAGGGTCTCCTGGTTTCAGGACCAGGGTTCCCGGGTGTTGTTGCTGCAGGGGGTAGATGGGTGGGGGACAGGAGGTCCCTTCTTTTGGCAAGCAGGACCTCAAGGAGTGGAGGTCTCAGGACCCTCAAGGGGTCCCGCTGGGGTATGACAGGGACACTCACCAGGAAGTCTTCAAGACGAAGGGGGGGCCGCCCTGGGGGCGGCTGCTCCAGGAAGAGCTGCAGAGTGACATTGAGAGCTGCCTCCTCAGTCAAGTCCTGGTGGGTGATGGAGCCAGGGGCAGCCAGGAGGCTCCAGATGTTGGGGAAGAAGGCAGATGTGGAGGGCAGCAGCTGCAGCAGCAGCAGCACTGAGGGGCCCAGGTGGGACAGGCGCACGCTCGTGGGGGGCATAGCTGAGACATGGACCTAGAGGACAGAAGGCTCTCAGGGAAGGAAGGAGCAGCAATTTAGGGCAGGCCAGCTGTCCATGGGCACCTGCTGGGGCCCTTCGGCTTTGCCTCAAGCAGCTTAGCTGCTCCAGCCTAGCTCCCTGCCCTCTCTAGTTGCCCAGACAACCTGAGGGCCTTATCAGGTTAGTTGGGACTTACACCAGCCAAAGGGGTCCGAGGCTCCTCCCTCAGAACACCCTCCCCCCACCCAGTCTGATACCCAGCCACCACCCCAGCACAGGAAACCCCCTACCTGGTGGCTGGGTCTTCAGGCAGGGCTGCCGGGTGTGGTATCACAAGGCACTTAGGTCAGAGTTATAATTAACCTAAGTGGGACTTGGGGGAGGACGGTGGCCCAGCAGGGTGGGGCAGGCTGCGGCCCCTGGGCCCAAACTCATACCGGCCCAAAGCCACAGCAGCAGCGGGCACCAGGGTGGGCCTTCCTTGGTTGCAGTGCGGAGGTGACAGAGCTGGGAGGGAGCTGGCAGCGCAGCGTGACTCAGGCCTGGCTCAGTGCCAGGGGCAGACCCAGACAGATGCATCTCTGCCCGCCAGGCCCTGGTGCCTGGCCCAGCCTGCAGCCCCTGAGGATTTGGGAACCCAGCCCCTCAGCATCCCTTTCCCGGCCCCAGCACACACACAGACAACAGATGGTTTGTGGCAAAATATTTATTACTGCCCTGCCCTGGGGGGAGCCACTGGGGTTATGAGGGCTGCCTCCTCCCGGTGGACCACTAGGGTTATGAGGCTGGAGTTGTGTCACAGCATCTTCTGAAACAGGGCAATGGCCTCATCCATCTTCCTGAGTTCTGCTTCTGTCTGCTGGAGCTGGGGGGTGGAACAAGGGGTCGTGGGTAGGGAGGACCCAGGCCCAAGAGAGAAGACCCTCAAACACCCATGAAAGCAGAGGGTCAGAGTTAGAAAGGCAGGTGAGGGCCATGGGCAGGGAGTAGTCAAGAGACTGTGTGCTTGGCTGGACCAGTCCCCCAAATGCTCAGCAGCCTCCCCACCAGCACTCCTCTTCTCTCCCACTGCCCTTTTGGGTCTTGCCTTTTCTCAGAGTGGTCAGCGCCCAAGGACAAGGGAGCCTCAGAGCTCATGTGCCCCACCTACGGTCCCAGCACTAGCCCCCACCTGCGGGGCAGGCAATTAGCCTTCATTTGTAAAATGGCCAGAGTGGTCCTGCTGCCTGGAAAGGGCTGCTGGGAGAGTCCATGAGCAGGGCCATGAACAGCTGCTTCTCCCTGCGCCCTCTCTATTTACCTGGCACTCCCGCCTAGAGGGCTCCATCTCTATGTGCCCAGGCCCAGGCATGTGGGATGCCATGTTCCAGGTGCCGGGTGGGCCACGAGGAGGAGGAGTGTGGCTGGCAGGGAGGGTACCTGGTTCTGGGTATGCCTCTGTCTTCACCTTGCTATGCGCCCACCCAGCTGTTCCCCACCTGCTCAAGGGGCCCGGGCTCTGAGTTCCCCCATGGACTGCCTGGGGCTGAGCAGAGTGCAGCCACAGGACCACGTCTCAGATGTGAGGACGGGGGAAGGAAATGCCCACCCACGTAACACACCTTGGCTTCGTCTGCCTCCTGGACTTTGAGGGGCACCTTGACCGGGTAGCCCATGGCGGCACGGCGCTCCCGCAGACGCTGTGCCTGCCGCTGTGCCTCACCACGCTTGGCCTGCAGCTTGCCCAGCTCCCGGGCTGGGTCCACCAGCCCCTGCAGCTGCAGGTGGACGGAGCAGCGGTCAGAGGCCAGGGCTACAGCACAGCCCTGGGGCACAGGAGCTCCCAGTGCCAGGACAGCCACCACACCCGCACTGGCCAGCGCCTGCACGTAGCCCGACACTGCCGATGCCAGGGCGCCTGTGGCCTCGTCAGTCACTTCCAGGAAACCTGCCAGGGGAGGGAGGAAGGTGAGGTAGCCATACTAGAGAGTACGTCGGGGGACTGTGGGGCAGGGTGGACATGGGGCCCCGAGGCTCACAGTCGGGACGGATCCGGATGAGGTTGTAGTCTGCACGTAGGGAGCGCACGGCTCGGGTGATGCTCAGGGCCAGCTCGAAGGCAGCTTCCGCCTCCGGGTCCTTCCATGAGCACTGTGGGGCGGAGGAGGTTGTGAGGAGGGCCACGCACAGGCCAGACCCCCGTCCAGACCAAACCCCATACCTCTGAGGGCTCTGGGAAGGGGGTGACACAGAGGCTAGGTGGTGCTTTTGGTGTCCGCCGGGGCAGCCTCTGGAACAGCTCCTCGGTCACAAAGGGCATGAACGGTGAGAGCAGCCTCAGGCCGATGTCCAGGCAGGTGTAGAGGGTCTGGCGGGCGCACTCAGCGGCCACCTGGTCCACCCCACTCAGCACAGGCTTCAGGCACTCCTAGGGGACAGGGAAGCACAGGGCTCAGGGCTGGAAAAGGTCTCATGGCCAACCGCTGGAAAAGGGAGGCCCAGGGATCCGCTGCCCCGGCCCACTCAGCTCCTCCTCACCAGGTAGACGTCACAGAGCTCATAGAGCCAGAAGCTGTACTGGGCAGTGGTGACGGCCGGGAAGTCATAGGCCTGGAAACCTTGGTTGCTGAGCCTCACAGCCTCAGTCAGCCGGCTGCGGATCCAGCGGTCCACCAGGCTCTCGTGGCCTCCAGGCTGGGGAGAGGGGCAGATCAGCCAGGGCCCACCATAGTTGGAGGGGGGTGATACCTAGGGGCAGAGCCAGAACCCCAAGGAGGCAGGAACCACAGGCAAATATGTATTCCAGGAGCCTGAGGGGTCTGAAGCCATCATATGCCAGTATCTGGGGGAGGACCCAATGCCCTTGGCTTTCCCTATAACCCTTTGCCCCACCCCCCCGGAGGCTCCTGGGCACACTTGATGCTGGAGTGGTGGGTGCACGGCCTGTGTGGGTGATGGTTGCCTTGCACCTACCAGGCCCTCACCTCGGAGGTAGGTGAGGGCACAAAACCCTTGCCAAGGCCACGCAGGGCAAACTTGGTGGCATTCCAGAGCTTGTTGCAGAAGTGGCGGTATCCCAGGATCCTGTTCACATCCAGGTTGATGTCTCGACCTGGATGCAGTGAGTGTGTCCTCAGCACCTCCCTCCCAACCCTCACCCAGGGCCGAGGAGGAGAGCGGTGTCCTCAGGGGAGGAGGAAGGACTGGCCGAGAGTTTGGGGCCCTACCCTGGGACGTGTAGGCGCACAGTCCAAACCGGAGGGCATCAGTGCCACACTCGGGGATCCCCGCCGGGAAGTCTGCCTTCTGCAAGAGGAGTTGAAACTGGCGCCCTGAGGCAGCCCCGCCGTCCCTCTGCCCACTCCCGGCCCCGCCGCCCGCCTTAGGTACCTGCCCTTCTTTAGCCCTCTCCACCTCGCTGGGGTCCAGGTTGCTGTTCAGTAACTGGTCGTGGAGGCCCTGAGGGTGAGGCGGGAGGGGTCAGGGGGCTGTGGCCGCGGCCCGCGGTCCTCCCTGGCTGGCCCAGGACCCAGCCCACCTGCAGGGAGACCCCGTGGATGACATCCAGGGGGTCGATGACGTTGCCCAGAGACTTGCTCATCTTCCGGCCATGGGCATCGCGCACGATGGCATGGAGGTAGACCTGAGGCGGGACGGAACTGTGGGGCAGAGCCTCTCCACCAGACCCACTGCCCACCCCAGCCGTGAATCTGGCCTCAGTGTCTCGCCAGCCCATTCACACCTTCATGGGCTCAGGGGCCCGCCCTCCTCTGGGAAGCCCAGGCACAGAATCACCAAGCAGAACCCAGGCCGGCTTTCAATCCCCAGAAGCCCACCCAGCACTGTCCACGGGCCTGAACTGTGGCACAGGAGGGTGGGAGAGGGGACTGAGGGGGTCTTGGTAGGCTTCGCACCTCTCTGAAGGGCAGCCTGCCAGTGAGCTTCAGGCCCAGCATGACCATCCTGGCCACCCAGAAGAAGAGGATGTCGTGGCCTGTCTCCAGCAGCGTCCCCGGGTAGAACACACTCAGGTCTTCCGACTGGGGGCAGAGCAGTGCATGACATGGGGCCGAACGCCCACCTCCAAGACCCCCAGCTCCCCTGGGTCGGCCTCAGGGATGTACCTGGTTGGGCCAGCCCAAGATGGAAAAGGGGAAGAGGCCAGAGGAGAACCAGGTGTCCAACACGTCCTCATCTGAGGGAAGAAAAGGTCCAGAGGTCAGGGGGGCAGAGACGCGGATCAGAGGCCAGCTCCGAGCCCTCCCCTGCCCCCAAGGCCCTGCCTTGCCTTGCTGGAGGCTGATCTTGTCAGGGGACACTCCAAACTCCTTGGCTGCCTTCTCACGGGCCTCGGCCTCGCTGCGCCCACTCACCCAGTACCGCCCATCAGGGTCCTGCCACAGATGCAGTCAACACCCAGGGGGGCATCCCTGCCTTGCCCCAATCCTGCCCCCTACCAAGGACCCAATAAACCACAGCTCCAGCAGACGTGCAATATTCCATCCTGGCCTGGTCCTCACCTCCCCGGGGGGAATGGCTGGGTCATGGACAGTGACAAAGTAGGCTGGGATGCGATGGCCCCACCACAGCTGCCGGGAGATGCACCAGTCCCTGCAAATGTTGGGAAAGGAGGGGTCAGGGGGAAGGAGGTGCCCTGGCCTGTGCCCAGCTCAGCCCCTCACCCTGTCACCCTCCCCACATCGAGCCAGACGCACCGGATGTTGTCCATCCAGGCGTGCCATGTCCGCTGATGGGCCTCAGGCAGGATGCGGAGGTCACCCCGAGTCACGGCAGCACTGGCAGCCTGGGCCATTTCCCCACAGCGTATATACCACTGTGGCCGCAGAAGAGGCTCCACCACGTCCTTGGACCGGCTGCAGGTACACATGGGTGGGCAGGTTGGGTGGCGAGCACTCTGAGAAGCCACCCCCCTTTCTCTGGCCCCCACCCTCACTTGCAAAGCGGCACCACCATGGGGTTGTCCTCGATGCCACGAAACAGTCCCCGCTCCTTCAACGCCGCCAGCACT